GGATGAGATCACAATTTGTAATCGTATCTCATTTCTGTCAGCTTTGTGTGGAGCGTCGTGCGATGAGATAATGCACTTATGAGAACAGAACGTCTCATCAACTTGACATTCAGTAAGCAAAATTGAATTAGAATCTAGATTATTATCTTTTTAAAGACTAGTGAGAGAGTATGAGCAACTCGTACTGCGATGTTGCAGATAGGAGATACAAAATCAGCAGTTGATGAGTCAGTTGAACACGGCTGGCACCCCCCCCCCCCCGGCTACAGGCCATACTTCAGATTTTACAATTTGTGGAAACAAATCGTCTGGAAATGAGGGGGTAGGAGGAAAAGGTGGGGGGGGGGGGGGGCAAGCTTGTTCACAAAATTTTGCCTTTTCGACAGCAATATTCTCTTAGTTTTATAGAGGTTTTACCGCACTCGCAACTGCATAAGGTCATACGAGCACCAGAAGAATAGAGGTGATACAAGAAAGTGTAACAAACATAAAAAAAAAGAAGAAGGGGAGATTAGGATGATAGATGTTTGATAGGAAAGAAGAAGCAAACCACACCAGAGCACCCGTCAACCACCCACTATATTCTCTTTTAGGCTGTGTGGACATTGAGTTGAAGGTATACACAGTAAAACCATAATAACATGAACTTCATGGGGCCAGAGAACAGATTTCTTAAGCAGAGTGCTCATGAAAAGAACCCCAAAACAGGGGGGGGGGGGGGGTGATTCCATATTGACAGCACAAAAGAAGTTAAGAGAAAGCTGTTTACTTGATGAGTTTTTATACATGCTACAACTCAATTTAAGAACAAAAACAAAAAACAAAAACAAGGAAATGGATCACAACTGAATATTTTGAAAATAATTAGGAAACGAAAAAACAACCAAACAAACAAACAACAAAACAGGACTTCCTTTTATATTATTGGGGACTGTTGGCTCATTAACATGACTGCGAAACAAAGTCACCCTGCCACCACCCACTGTGCAGGGCAGTGGGAAATAAAAACTCTTAGCCTATATATATATTGAACATGGGTTGTGCAACATGCATATTTCCATATATCTAAAAATTTACAGTCCATAAACAAGAGAAAATTTACGACTCCCTTGGAAAATTTTACAACATTAATATTGGAGGTAAGGCTTTTTCGACAGCTGCTTCCTAAGGGGTGGAATTCCTTCCTACTGTACAGAACTTAAAAGAGGGGCCTACTTTGACTACATTTAAAAAAAGTTAAAGTGGTCTAAAACCACACTATTTATGTTTTTATATAATACTATATCTATTTTACTAGAGGTAGTTTGACTCCTCTTTCAATAACAAGTGTTATCACAGAAGCCAGATTTGTTGTCTTCTTGAGAACGAGTTCGCTCGTCTGATAATGACATATATATATAATATATATAATATATATTATATAATGTGAGTGCGTATGAGTGTGTGTGTATTTGAAAGGATTATTGTACCGTGCACAGGTCAGAAAGTATGAAACATATCATCATTAAGTTTTACTCTTCAAATATACATGATTTTTTAAAATGATGAATATTGTGAAGTGCCTAGAGCTATCAAATGGTGGGCGCTATAGAAGTGATCTTCATTATTATTATTATTATTATTATTGTTATTATTATTATTATCATTATTATGCATTAGCACTGGTGGACTTCTCCGAGTGAAACAATAAAAGGAAAGGAGAGTCAGCCGCAGAAATCATGAAATGGATCAAAATTCCTAAAATCTTAACCAGTTCTGCTGGAATGTTTTGTGTTAAGTGGGGGAAGTGGCAATATATAGACAAAAAAGGAGGGGGGGGGGGGGGGGGGGGGGGGGAAATATGGGGATTTGAAATTATGAAATCCATTCCTGTTAACAAGAATTTTATTTCGAATCATACTCACACTGTCTGTTAAAGGCTACTGTAAGCGTTTCTTTTCAACTTATCTTAGTACTGGAGTCAGGGCTGAGCAGAGAAAAACAGGGATACAACTTCCCAGCACAAGAATGAGATATACACTCAATAAAAATCAACCCCATTACAGGGATTAAACTTAGGTCTTTTGCACGTGCAGGTGAAGTGCCTTCTAACAGCTGTTTACACTACAGACACAGGTTTTCTTAATCTGCGTGTCCTGACACTATGGAGGCCCCCCCCTCTCCCCAAAGCACATTATATCCATCCATTTCATTATCCTAACAGAAAAAAATATTGATTACTGTTGGAGTGTTATTTCTTGGGCTTCAAGTTTATTTGGAGGGTCATAAGGCAAACAGTACAGAATGAGTTGGCTTCTCTCTTAACTGGGGCTTTTACAGACTGTTTTGAACCACCTCAAATTATGGCTTCCGACTTCTGGGGACGCAAATCGAGAATCGCAGGGCCCAGTTCCACGACTTTAATGTGGGAAAATCGCGTGATTTGAAATCCCATCCCATCTCCACCAACCCTCCCCCCCCCACACACACACCCTACCCAAACCTTCTAATTCACTTCCTCTCTCTTCCATAGAGAAATGTACCAAAATAACCTTCCGTTTATATTATTCAACCATTAAATGCATCTGAATTTGAACACCTTTAAAAACATCAAGTAATAATTGGAAATGTAGTATGAAAGTGAAAAATATGACAAAGTTTCTCTGTATTCAGTACTTCCGAAACTAGAAATTACCACACTTGAGCACTTGAAACAGTGACATCACAAGACACTGAATTGAGCTTCTATGCAAAAAATACCCCAATTACTCTTTCGACGCAAATACAGTCTAAATTGTCCAAAAGCCATTGTGAGGAGGAAAGAGGTCATCTTAGACAGGTGGTGCTCTTGAACAGTATCATTACTCATTACACACACATTTAAAAAAATAATACGCGTGGGAAGAAGTGGGAATTTGTTGTTCCAGAAGTGATTGTCTCCGACAGGTGGTCGTTAGAGCAGGTTCCACTATAATTTATGGTCTCTTTTAAACATAGGGGGCTATCCCGAAAATGCTGTTTTGAGAAAATCGAGAGCAAAGTTTTTGCCTCTTGCTCAGTTTCTTTAAAATACAAGGAGAGTTTTCTCTATATTATAACAAAACAAATATACACACAAAGGACCAATGAAACCAAACTTCTCCCATAGGTAGGGCAATGCCCACTTTTGATTCAGGAAAAGATTACTGGTAACCCCTGAAATCTGGGTTAGCCCGCTTGTCCAACTATAAGCAATAATAAAAATAATCATGAGAACACTGTAAGTGACTGTTCTATTTTAAAGGAAAACGTTCTAATCTATGTCATGGTGAAATCAGGCGGCTGGTTTGGGAATTTTTATAGTTTTGTTTTTTGGCTAAACACCTTTCACTCTCTTCGAAGAACACATTTCTGTATGGATTGAGCTGAAAAACGTTGATTTCTGGCATAAGAGATATCAGTAATCATGGGCTCTCAAGCTTAGGAAATTTACTCAACTTTGGCGGCCATTTTCTCGCTAATTTTACCTCTGAAACTAGGCCATTCCACTTCCTTCAGTCACCAATATCTTGACTTGTCCAAGATAAACAGATATTGTTTTCAACAAGAGCAAGGCAAATGGACAAGCTTTAAGATGATACCAATCCATATGCTCCAAAATTGACGAGTGCCTGATTCCACCGCGTCATGACACATATAATATGCTACAAACACCACAGTGACTTTCTCTTACCTTTCGGAAGTAACTCATTCAACTGGATTTCGTACTGTAACTGTGCGGACGGGAAATAATTTTGCAATTCCCTTCCTTGCTCTGTTGGCGAGGGGTTGCTCCAGGGTCAGCCTACTCTTGATACTATGCCTGACTTGGTCTTTGACCTTGAGTGGAGTGAGAGTGAAGTGTGTGACATCCAATTAGTCAATAGGCTACTTGATTAAAATAATTCTATTTTTATAGTGTTGGATTATTGAAAACAAGAGAAATTTTTATTAAAAACTCTTGCCCTCACTGATACTGATGTGATAATGACAACAATGTCAATGCCATAGGTCTAGTGGTTCACTCATCTCTTTTGTGAATTTGTGTGGGTGTGGTTCTCCGAAAAGAGAAGTTGGATTGGAACACTTTGCACTTTACTTTACACTGTAATTTACAGGTCTAGGGTGTCCCTGCACAAAGCTGGACTTGCCAATGTCATTGCCATTGGCGTCATTCGTCTCCGAGTCTGAACATTTCACTTTGTCAGTTAAATAGATCGAGATCTACTCACACAATTCACACATCAAACCTCAGTCAGTACAGCTGTCACGTTGACAGTATAGATTCTAGGCTACAGTCTGTCTCAAACTCAAGTTTCTCCGTCAGGCGAAAAACAGACGGTTCTCATTTTATTTAAAGGAACGTACAAGTGTATGATGATAAAAAGAGTGAAGCTCAAACTCAACAAAGTCAAAGATTCCTAGTGCCCAAGGCCCAAGGAAGGGTCGTTTTCCCAAGCCCAACAAACATAGGAAACTACACTCATTCAATTTCACAGACACTGAAGAAGTCTACATGAATCGAGATCTAGATCTAGAACTAGATCTATATTATATATAAGATCTACCTCAGCTGAAACTTCAGCACTCCATTTCGACTTATATAATCTATATTTTCTTTTTTGTTTTTGTTTACACACTCGTCGGGTTCGTGACACTTCACTCAATCACTGCGTCACACCTTCTTTTCCCCCGATGTTCCTCATCCCCAAATCATAAAATAAACAAACAAAAATACATACAAAGTCACAAAGCAGATAACATGACAATAGTCTGTTTCATTAATTGCATTCTCAACCCAAGCCCAATACAATCTGTTGTCACTTATACTTTTATGTCAGCGAAAGTAAACAGTATTGAAACACGAACCTGATCAATAACGCTATGCTTGAAAAATTTTGTTTCAAATAGAAGAGTTCACGAGGCTCTGATTTCTTGTTTCGATTTCATAATTTTTACGCTTCCGCTGAGTCGGCTGATTGGACAACAGCATCAGCTGACTGTCGATGCACTGCAAGAAAACGGTGTCGCTGCTCCGTCTTCTACTGCAGACTGTAGGTTGTCTTTATAGAGTATGAACTAGTTTTGTTTTTCACGTTTGATTCAATTGATTTGGATGCCATTCACAGGACTAGCCTAGCTAAGTGCAAACTGTCATTGGTGAGTAACGTCAGTAACATGCACAGAATTCTACACTTATAGAACGGGAACTGTACCACGTGACCTGTGAGGAATTGAAGACCGAAAACAATGGCGTCTTGAGGGCACGATTTATCGTTTTCGGAAGTAACCCTATAGCTTTTAAAGCAAGAGCGGCTTTTACAAACGAGTGAAAAGTGGAACATTTACTGTCCAGTTTGTAATTTTGAGTTACAGAATTCACTGTGCAACTAGAGATTGGAATTAAGGTTTTAAATTGTTGTGTTTTTGGGTGCAACAAGAGAAACAGCAGACATAGAGAGTTTATAAATATAAGATCTACAGAACTGAAAAAAATTCATAGCACTTCTAGCTTCCCACACACATTTTGCATACGCATATGGCCTACGTAGTTTTTAGTAGTAAAACTTATTACAAGAAATTTGTTTTACACTGAACATATTTTTTCACTAGTTCTTATAATGTTCTCAAAACATGCTTTCAATAATTAGCTTTATGTCGCCAGCAGAAGTAGAAAAAAGGACGGACTTGCTTTTAAAAGAGATTTAGCTCCAGCTATAAACTTTTTAAAAATCTGTAGAAACCATTGACTGGGATTTTTAAAAAAATATTGGGCTAGTATTTATTAAAGAATTTTCTTTAAAGAAATTTCTAGAATAATATAGAACCTATAGATGTGTACAAATGTTTTTAAAAAATACTCATCGGTTAAGACGAATTGATATAGATCTAAGTCATTGTGTAAAAGTAGGAGAATCTAGATCTAGGTGTTTGATAGTTCAGTAGCCTAGATATTTGATAATAAGTTGCGCATCAAATTTTTGACCGCATGCTACAGTAGTAGAGATAGCGTATTATTTTCATCCGAAACATTAATTTCTGCATCCATACACCTTTTTGGGCCTTTATAAGCACATGTAGTCCTACTTTAATTATGTTACTTTCATAATTGTTTTTGAAAGCATTTTCAATTCCTTTCACTTTCACTTCCCACGCGTGGGCTCATATAATTATGATTATAATTTAAGATTCCAAATCTGACGAATGTATTATTAAATAGCGTATAATGCTGAGTTAGCCAATGCATTGCAATGCGCGCTATTATCAATTATTGATTGTAACTAGACTTCAATTTGATCCGTAACAAGAGACCACTTATTTTTTTATACGTGTTCACGAATGTGTGTTTGTTTATTGTGTGCGGGGATTAAAAATTAAAGATTCCAGATCTGACGAATGTATTTATAAAATAGCGTAATAGTACTAGTGCTGGGTTAGCCGATGCCTTGCGCCGATACACGCTTTTATCAATTAATTGAATTGTAACAGAACTTCGATTTGATCCGTAACAAGACAACACTTATTTTTTCTTATACGTGTTCAAAAATGTGTGTTTGTTTACTGTGTGCGGAGATTAAAAATTAAAGAATAAAGATTCCAGATCTGACGAATGTATTTATAAAATAGCGTAATAGTGCTGGGTTAGCCGATGCCTTGCGATACACGCTTTTATCAATTAATTGAATTGTAACAGGACTTCGATTTGATCCGTAACAAGACAACACTTATTTTTTTCTTATACGTGTTCAAAAATGTGTGTTTGTTTACTGTGTGCGGGCATTAAAGATTCCAGGTCTGACGAATGTATTTATTAAATAGCATATAGGCCTATAGGGCAGGGGTGGCCAACGCATTGCGATACGCACTTTTATCAATTAATCGAATTGAAACAGGACTTCAATTTGATCCGGAACAAGAGGCCACTTATTTTTTATACGTGTTCATGAATGTGTGTTTGTTTACTGTGTGCGGGGATTAAAAATTAAAGATGAAAGATTCCAGATCTGACGAATGTATTTATAAAATAGCGTAATAGTGCTGGGTTAGCCGATGCCTTGCGATACGCGCTTTTATCAATTAATTGAATTGTAACAGGACTTCGATTTGATCCGTAACAAGACAACACTTATTTTTTTCTTATACGTGTTCAAAAATGTGTGTTTGTTTACTGTGTGCGGGCATTAAAGATTCCAGGTCTGACGAATGTATTTATTAAATAGCATATAGGCCTATAGGGCAGGGGTGGCCAACGCATTGCGATACGCACTTTTATCAATTAATCGAATTGAAACAGGACTTCAATTTGATCCGGAACAAGAGACCACTTATTTTTTCTTCTTCGTGTTCCAAAATATGTGTTTGTTTACTGTGTGCGGGGATTACAGGGGGACAAGCCCATCCCCTCGACATGTGATCCAGAGTATGGGGATACATTTTTCTCAAAATGCACACAGCTCTGAAATCCTTGACCAGTGATCACTCGCCATGGAACTCTTTCTGTTGTGACTGTAGACACAAGTTTCTTCATTATCACATCTGAATGAGCCTCTCATTCATGCATTAGAAATCACACTCCCAACACACAGAAAATGACTTTGAACATATATTCAGGAAACATATGCCAGTTCCACTCTTGTTTACTTTGTTTTGCATTAATGGCTTTTATGTGTAAAACAATATTTAGAGGCCTTTTCTGCATTTTTGTGTTTTTGGCAGCATGTACAATAGGCCTATGTATTTTATGTGCAACCGACACATTCTCCAATCGTAGATCTAGTACTAATCAAGACTATATCTAGATATTTTTCCAACAGAGTTAATGTTCATAATTAGTGTTATTATCAAGTGTATTGTGATTGTGAAGATCTTTAGTAGATCTAGATCTAGTAGTAGATCTAGAGATCTAGATCTATCTAGATCTAGACTAGATCCCATCCCATCCCATCATTAAAAAAACAACAACAAACCAACAATACAGATACAAAAACATTGTAACATTGCCAATTATGACATATTGTTGGCAGTAAAAATGTACTAGACTATTTCACTATATTTCCTCTTCGAAGAAAGTTTTAAAATACTGATGTAACTTAATGTAAGGTGTCTTCCAAGCCCTACCACTAGCATCAGCGTGCATAGCAACGCGAAGCCTCGCTGTGCGGCGCAGCCAAAGGTGCCCTCAATTGGCCGCCATGTTTTAGTTTCAATTCCTCACAGCGAATCGGCGATCGCGAAGAGGGAGTTCCGCTTCTATAAGTGTAGAATTCTGTGGTAACATGAGAAATTAATTTGTTTCAAATAGAAGAGTCTCTGGTCCCCTGTTTGTACTTTCGATTTCACATTTTGGCTTCCGCTGCCTAGTCGGCTGATTGGACAACAATATCAGCCCATTGCGGGTGCAGTGCACGAAAACATTATAGATCTAATTATATTGGCCTGGTCTGTCTTCTGGTTAACAAACTGCAGGTTGTCTTTGTAGACACTATTGTTTTACCTGTTTGCTTTAGTTATATTTTCCACGTCAGTGGTTGTCAGGGAGGATGCAGAGGAACCAAGTGAAGAGATTCTAGATTTAGGTGCAGGAGAGCCCAGGTTTGCTTCTGCTGCGCCATGGTGCTCTACTCTGCTAGACAAGTGCTAGAATCTAGATTTAGATGACTGAGGGGTGTTGTTACCCTTTACACTGCCAACCTGGGGTTGAGCATGAAGTTGGCAATATTACAGGACTGGCAGTATAAATGAGTTTTAATACTGTCTTCTGAAAGTGGCTATTCTCACCCGCCCGGAAGTTCTCACAAGATCTACTCCTCCCCTCTTCTCTCTCTCTCTTTCTGATGAATACTGTCTATCGGTGTGGACGATCAAATTGACCAAAACAAAGTTAAAAAATGATGTTAAAACACAAAAGTAAATTAATTTGGTTGTCTACAAAGATGCTACGGCTATTTAACTTTTCGAATCGAGCCGAACTACGCGGGTCGCCATTTTGTTTTGTTCTCTCTCTCACTCTCTCTCTCTCTCCACTGCCCACAGACAAAATTGTACGCTTTTAGTAGGCTACAAGTACAGTTGTAATGGAACGTTTGTTCACAGCACAGAATTCTACAATTTTTCTCTTATCACAGTGTAGAATTCTGTGGTTTAGGGTGAACGCAAAATTTGTTGACACGCGCACCGGGTGAGAATAGCCACAAGACCCGCCTGCACTATTCTCACCCCGGGTGAGAATAGAGGTGGCCCTGTCTTCTGATAAAAAGCACAGACTGCCCAATGTCAAGAGAAATGATTCTACCAACTAGATGTAGATCTAGATATCTATATCTAGATCTAGATCCAGATCTATATCTAGAATCGGCGATTGTCAAGATTTCCACGTTTAATTCCGATGTGCGTCTTTCATAGCCTCAGGTATGTTTCGCTTTGGTCCCTAACTCTAACCCTGACCCTAACCCTAACCCTAACCCTAACCCTAACCCTGACCCTAACCCTAACCCTAACCCTAACCCTGACCAGGGTTAGGGTTAGGGTTAGGGACCAAAACGAAATATACCTGAGGCTATGAAAAACGCACATCGGAATTAAACGCGGAAATCTTGACAATCGCCATAGAATCTATATGAAAGGCAATATTATAATAAGTTGTAAGTTGTTTGCCTTGGTCCAAAACTTGATGAGATGTTTTCTGCATTTAGTGGCAATCGCTAGCTCGCAAAGCTTTGTGTGGGAGAAAGGGATATCTAGTATCATTGCCCATCTGTTGAGTAGGCATTGTGTGCCATTTGTAGTGTTTACCTCTAGCAGCTAGATCTAGTATGCTGACGATGTTGGGGGGGGGGGGGGGACAGCTAGAAATCTAATAAGAATGTGGAGGGGGGTTCAAAGTTTTGGGGGGGGGGGGGGAATTTACGTAAGTAAGGACCATGCTGATGACAGTTTGATTTAGATCATGTTGAAAGCGGCAAATATTATTCATGTAGGCATTCTTTTTGTGTACTGGCAAATGCTTGACGGTTAAGTGGGGCTGGCAGTATATATCAGGGGGGATATAGATCTAATATGGTTTGACTGAATTTTGTGGTCTTCTTTTGTCTAATGGGGTGTTATATATCCCACTAAGCCCGGATTGGCCCGGACAGGAAAAAATTGAAGCAGCCCGCCTCCTAAGTGATATATATATGGAGTCTGTCAATGGGGGCATGAGACATTGATGACCATTTACAATCCACAGAGTCCAGCATGCCGTACCAGTACAAGAATGACATGCGCAGAAATAGAGGCGGTCCCTATAAGACCAAACCCGCCACTGATCTCACGAGGTGGAGACTAACCAATACAGAAGGGCGGCAGGTCTGGCAGTATTTTACGAAAGAGGAGGACTTGCCCAGAGAGCAAACCTGTCTTGAGAAGCATTCTCTTGGACTTGATACGGTACTTGTTACTACTCTGTCCTTTTTCACATGTATGTGTGCTGTTCCATGTTTTTAAAGAAGAGATCCCCCTGCGTAATTTAATTAAAGTAGACTTTGCTTGAAAACATGAAACTGTTTTACACAGAATTCCTGTTACCATGATATTATTTCAAATCCCCTATGTTTTTCTCTTTATTCCATGCATTGCAACTTTTTTTTTTCTTAAAATCTGCTTAATGCGAAGAAATTCTCTGATCCTTTGAAATTTGTGTCAGTTTTACTTTTTGTTCACCCCATCTCTTGGATTTCATCGTTATTCCCTTGATTTGGATGGGCCTGGCTCCTGACAGACCTAGTTGAAAAGTAAAATCACAAAGGCTGCCAATCATATAATAAGATTTCATGCTTTAGAAATGCTGACGCCAAGAGAAGCCTGTAAGCTGTGCACATCCACAAATGAAAATGCAGTTTTCTATTATAACTGAAAATGTGGCAAACTCTTCTCTGCCAGAATTGGTCTCATGGGCTATAGCAGAGGCTACAAGTTTTCTTAAACCTTTTTTCTTCCATTTTGCTTGAGAAATATTTTACTCAGCAGATATGCGTTGGTCGTTACTAGACATTGATGGACTACTATTATTGAATATTATTATTTTTAGATTTAATGTGTGCATCATAAAAATGGTACCTTTCGATGAAAATAAATGTCTGTGTATTGAAGTAGAGAGCTTTGACAGTGATTTGTCAATTTTTAGCATCATTTGTTTTTAGACATTATCTGTACGTGTTAAGTGTTATGCATAGTCTTTGTGATGGGCAAGTAGATTCTTTTCTTTCGCTCCTTTGTTTTTGCCTGTCTTGTTTTTTTCCTCCACCTAAATGATGTTTTACTCTGTATTTAAACTGAAAGCTTCCTTAAAATACTTCAAGCTACAATGCTTTTAAGATTATTGTTGTTGCAAAACAAAAATTAGATTGTAGAAATATAAATGAGACTTGAATTTTTGTTTTGTCCTACCAGAGTGCTGAGGCCCCACCCCTTCCCAAGGCAGAGAAAGCACAGGATGCCGCCAAAAATGGGATGACATTCTACTCGAAGATGCAGGCTGAGGATGGTCACTGGGCAGGTGACTATGGTGGTCCTCTTTTCCTCATGCCCGGTAAGGACCAATATTTATTGAGATTCTGATAGAGATTATTGTGAAGTCTTGTGGATTTAAAAATTTTTGTGTCATATTATACTAACTTATAATAAGAGGAAAACAGACAGGAACAGATGTTATCTTTGTAAATTGATTTTCTCTCTTCTTTCCTGTCCCTTTGTTCCTTTGGACTGTTTTCTTGTTTTATCTTCATGGTATGTTGGACTCCACTTATACCAAAGTCTGTGGAACCACTGGATTTTCTTTGGTTTAGCTGTGTTTTCGATTGCTCAAACAGAAGAAAAAAAATTCTAATATTTATTTTTATTTCGGTTTACCTCAGTTTGTGGATTAACTATGTTCGGTTGAAGCTACTGTACTTTATATCATAGACAGAGATTTGTTTATGACTTATTGAGTTTGTTGTTGAATCCAATCTCTTTTCTTGCTATTGTTGAATCCAATCCCTTTTCTTGCTAATGATATGAAAACTAAGGTATGGTTGGAATGTGTCACTTAAACGTCCATCTTCTTTTCTTTCCCTCTATAGTTTCTGTCTGTCTGTCTTAACTTTTTTCCTGCACTGCATGACAGTCAGTTGCGTCAATGTGTTTTTCTTTATTCAAACAAATGTCCTAGTTGTCAGTAATGATACAGACATTGGCTGTTTCTATAGTGTATGGTTGTGGGTAAACCTATACTTATTGTTTTCATCCTTGTATTTCAGGACTCATCATTGTGTGCTACATAACAAAAACTCCATTTACTGAAGCGCAACGTGTTGAGATGATCCGCTACCTGAAGTCTGTGACGTGCCCGGATGGCGGCTGGGGCCTGTGAGTAGACTCTCAGAAAGAAAAGGCTGGCTTTAAATAGTGTACTTTAGGGATAGCACAAATGGTAAGCTTTTAGACGAATTTGGTAAAACTAAAGTATAGACTCTTGTTTTGAACTGCTTGACATGGTGCACAAAATCCATGGTCACCAGGGAGGGGTGATGGGCCGTGGTTTCAAGTTACTTGGACAGGATTTCTGTGGCAGGTGTAGACTTACCATCTAGATTTGTATGTCTGTTGCTGGTCCCTTCGATCTACTTCTGTTTATGAGCAGAGTCTAAGCTTTTGACTTACTTGTCTGTAACTTGTCTGCTGCCAATTGCTCAGTGTTACCAGAGCTTTGCTACAGTGCAAAAACTGTCTGTGTGCTTGCAAAGGATGACTTGTTTGCACTTGTGCATAGTAACTGAGCTGTTTGTGAGTCTGATTGGGATGCACAATTTATTTCACAATTCAGGCAGTGGCTGGCCTTGATTATATGACCTCAGCATGACTTATTCTACTGCTGTTCTTGTGAGTACAAAAGGATAATTTACTTTCACAATGGCACGACAATGTTTGGGG